TGTTGACCAGGATGGTCTCGATCTCTTGACCTCGTGATCCACCCGCCTCGGCCTCCCACAGTGCTGGGATTACAGGCTTGAGCCACCGCGCCCGGCACAAAGCCCTTAAATTCTTAAGGCTAAAGACTTGAGATTATGTAAAATTATCTAGAGTGATTCAGCTAAATTGGAATATAGTATGTAGGGTGAAAGTTGACAGAAATCTGTACTACTTCAGGAAATCCACAATAGTAATTATTTTTGAACATTAATGAAAATCCTATAAAATAGAAAGATTGGAAATCAACATTGTTTCCTATTATCCACAATATGGATACTTATTTGGTGACCTAGTTAAGGGAGAATTAAGTAAAGTTATTTATTTTATATAATACCATAAAAATATTTTCTTAAGAAACTGTCATGGCCATGGTTTCTTAACACTGAAGACAGATCCATAGTAACTGGTGAATAGTGTTTTCCTGTTTTTAAGTCAGAATGACAGAAAAAACAGAATAGTGCTGGTACCCCTCTTCTCTCCAGTAGTTCAATGGTATGTCATCACAAGTGTTAGAGTGGGATAATCAGCTGGGCCTTTTGACTGGCTCCTCAGATACCTCAACCATTCTGAGTAGACTAAGGGTTGAATACAGCCAAATGGGCCAGATAGTCCTGCTTGTGTCTGGAATTCCAACCCGAATCTCTAGTGTCAGCCTAGGGAGAAGCTCCTGTGTCAAGTTTAGGCCAAAGTGGGTACTTTGGCTGCAGATCTATAGTTAAGCCTGATTATGGGTGTGAGGCAATCAAGTATCTTGTTACTGTAATTGCATATGGCCACTTGGATGTTGCTCAGTTTTCATGGTTTTTTTTTTAATCTAATTTTAGTTTTTTCCAGAAAGCAGCAAGATCAGTAACAAATAAAAAATATTTGGAATGCTGGATAATTTAGCAATGATGAATTCTTTTTAATACTTGATTTAATAATTTCAAAAGGTGGTAACTTTTAGTTATAGCTACTCCTGGGCAAAATTATTATAGAGACAATATTAATTACAATACCACATTGTATATATATTTTGAAAAGAGGCCAGGTGCAGCAGCTCATGCCTGTAATCCCAGCATTTTGGGAGACTGAGGTGGGTGGATCACCTGAAGTCAGGGGTTCAACACCAGCCTGGCCAACATGGTAAAACCCCATCCCTACTAAAAATTAAAAAATTAGCTGGGCATGGTGGTGCCAGCCTGTAGTCCCAGCTAACTTGGGAGGCTGAAGCACAAGAATCACTTGAACCCAGGAGGCAGAGGTTGAGTGAGCCGAGA